AAGGTTTTTTTTTCCCTAAGGAGCAACTGGCAGGTTCAAACTGCTGAGAGACTACTTAAGCACTGCTCCACCAGGGCTCCCTTAAGGCTCAGCTTTGCTGTTAAGTAAGTGTCAGCTTGGACTCCCAGGGACCCCGGGAACAAAGGAGCGAAATTCTGCCCTCTCCTGCAACATCCTCATGTACTCAGCCAGGCCGTGCTCAGGCCCACTGCGCAGTCGCTGCTGTCAAGTCATCTCACTGAAGGCCTTCCTCTCCTTCACTGCCCCTCCACACAACCCTCACCCTTTCCAAGCATCACCTCCTTTCCCGGGGAGTAGTCCAAAGTATGAGAAGAAGCGTCACCACCCTTTACTTCCAAGCAACACCTGGCTGCAGGTCTCCTAAGATATATTCGTGTGCTCTTCTGGCAGTTCATATAGTACATCCAGTATTTTTTGCCAACATCACAATTTAAAGGCATCAATTCTTTGGTCTTTCTTATTCACAGTTCAACTACCACATGGGTATGAAGCAACTGAAAATATCCTGGCTTGGGTCAGATACACCTTGGTCTTTAAACTGACATCTTTGCTCTTTAGCATGTTAAAGAGGTCTCTGACAGTGAATTTGCAAAACACACCATGTCTTTTTATTTCTCAACTGCTGCTTCTACAGATGTTTGCCATGCTAAATGGATACAAGAAGCTAGGGAGGATCGGGAGGAACTAAGAACACCCTCGAACTCAGTGCTGTCAAGTGGAAACCAATTTAAGGCTGACTCGCCGTGAGTTTCCGCGGCTGCACACACACAGGAGATCCTCCAACTCCTTCCCGAGAAGTGGCGGGTGGGTGGAACTGTCAGAGATACACAGCTCCCCCATGAACCCAGAGACACGTTATCTCAGTCTCTCCAGCGGCACTCCAGAAACAGAGAGACTGAAGAAGCACAGGTTACCAGAAAATCCAGTCCTGTCCAGAGTCCCAGGACTACCCTGCAGTAAACTGAATGGCTTGTACTTTTTTTTTTTTTTTTGGCTTGTACTTCTTGATCAATCATGCAGTAATTCCACTTACGTATAATAGACCTGTTACTGCACAGTCTCCTGTAGTTATCCGACCTTTAACTCCCCAAATGGTCTTTCAGCCAACTGTAAATTCTGTAACCTTTAGTTCCTGATCATGTAATATAAAAACGTTATCTGTCCTTTTCTCTGATCTGGTGGAGGAGCCACTCTCACTGTGACAACAGACATTTCCCTGGTCAGGACCGTCTGTGTCAACTTCCTCTGCTATTGTTACTGAAGCAGCCTCCGTGATGTGGGTCCGACAGCTTTGTCTCTGCAAATCTGGGTCTGTTTGCTGCTTCTGAGCAGATTAAACTCATGGTGACCTCATGTACACAGACTGAAATGATGCCCAATCAGGTGCCATCACTGGACTGGTTTCCGATCAGATCACTGTGGTCCACTGGGTTACCAAGGGCTAATTTCTCAAAAGTAGATTGCCAGGTCTTTCTTCCTAGTCTGGAAATTCTGGTGAAACCTGTTAATTTATCACATCAACACCACTGCCAGACAAGCAGTGATGGCATATGGGGTGCAATGGCCAGGAATGAACTCAGAGCTCTCACAGAAAAGATAAAAATATTCTACCACTAAACCACACTTAGATTAAGGGGGAGGAGTGTGTCCTGGCAGTGATTTTTTTTTCTTTTTAAATTTTCTTTCTTTTTAATTTGGTGTATTGTCATACTGGATCTGACTGGCACAGGAGGAGTTTGCCCCTCCTTCTCCAGCAGAGCATCTGGTGGATTTGAACTGTATCTTCGGGATTGTAGTGCAGCTTCTTGCCACTAGGCCATCAGAGATCAGGGAGTGACTTATTATACAAGTACAGACAATATTAGGATGGCTGTATCTGACTACAACTAACTCCACAAAAGGGATCTGTCGCCATTAACAACCGGTTCTAAAGACAGACATGGTCTCATACTCTCCTGAACTTACTTCAACTAATTCCAACATCAACTGTATTGCTCTACTGGGCCCTTCAATCCACTGCAATGGTCACACAGATCTCACAGAGCCATACTCACAGTCACAGGGTTTTTCAGAGAACTTAACAGGCTACAATTCAGGCTGGCAGCAGGACAGACGTCCTCAGGGAAGTCAGCCTCTCAAGTGTGCTCAAACGCCCTCTGACCCTCAGCCTCACAGCTTGGGTCAGTGTCACAAAGCTCCTTATAGTCCACCAATGATGACATCTTTCCTTATTCCTCCAGCAAGCTGGGTGAAGGCCCAGGCTCTGGCTCCACGGGGCGACAGCTCCACGTTAGCTCTGTCTCAGGTTGGCCTCTGGTTCTCTGCTGAGGCGCCTGCTGCTCTCATGCAGGCTTTGGTCTGACTGGCACAGGGATCTCTGAGCCCAAAGGACGCATGCTATACTCTGCTTCCTCTTCCTTGCCAGAAGTGAGATTCCCACTGGTGCTGTTAAATCTATTTGCTCTAACTTAGTGGGATGAAGAAAACAGACTGATGCTATGATTATTTTATAGGCTCCCTGTTTCAAGGTCCTTCCCATTTACGCGGTGAAAGCCAAAGCTGATGGCTAGGAAATCCATTTTGAACAATAAATCCTCAGCATCACGTTTGTAGACACAACTAAGGATGTGCCTTATGATTATATGTATTTCCATATTAAAGAATTTTAATATAAGAGCTCTTAGTTTGCTGGTGTAGTAGTAAGAAGCTGCACTGCAATCCCGAATACATGCAGTTCGAATCCACCAGCTTCTCCGAGGGAGAAGGAAGGGCAATCTCCTCGCTATAGATTTACAGCCTCTGAAAACCTGCTGGAGTCAGCTATGAGTCAGTTCCCCTCCACAGTATTGGGCTACTCTGTATTTTTTAAAGACAGCACAGGGTTAACTGCTAAGTGGATAGAAACTGGAGATAAGAGGAAACAGATTTCTGGAGCACCTGCTCAGAGGTGAGCATCTTAATCTTCAAGACTCTCCACACAGATAGCTTCCAGGTAAGTGAACAGCTTCAGTAGCCCAGGGCAGCTAACCTAAGCTTCCTTCAATCCAGGACCTAGCATTTATTTTCACTGAAATCTGTCCAAGAAAGGTTAATAAGGACTGGTTAAAAAACACACCACAAAAAGCAATGTGTACAAAAATGTTTAAAATCTTCCTCACCAAAGCATCTGTCCAGGTGCCAAAACTTTGAAAACTATATAAAGTTCTCTGCACCCTGATCTCCTGTTCTGAGCAGCTAAACTTCTCTAGTTCAGAAGTCATTAAAAGACAAAACAAAACCAAACCCACCCAAAAAACATTATCCCTGGGAGCGCTGGTGGCCTAGAGTTAAGAAGCTGCACTGCAATCCCAAATGCACAAGGTTTGAATCTACCAGATGCTCCCGGGGAAAAAGATGGGCAATCTCCTCCAGTATGATTTACTGACAAATCCCCTGGAGGTAGGTTCTGACTCCAAGGCACACAACAACAAAATTCCTAAAATACGTCAAGTAAGTCAAAAACTATACCACTAGGTCTTATCTTTACATAGATACATACATACAACTCCAACTCCAAAATTTCCTGCAATGTTTTCTACTTTAACAAGCATTCCACTTAATGTGTTACGATCTTTCATACAACACACCTCTCTTGGTTCTTGCTGTCATGTGTGTGCGGTGTATGCACCTGCATTTCAAAATGTCTCCGGCCAGCCATCATTCCCAGGTTTTTTGTTGTTTTTTTTTTTAATTTTTTATCATTTTTGTGTGTGTGTGTACCGTCACATCGGATCTGACTGGCACAGGAGGAGATTGTCCCTCCTTCTCCAGCAGAGCATCGGGATTTGAACCACGCGCCTCTGGAACTGCAGTGCAGCGTCCTGCCACGAGACCACCAGAGCTCGCCCATTCACTCCCATGTTTTAATACAAGTACTCAAAGGACCTCCCAGCAACCCTCTCCAAACACGGAAACTATTATGAAATAAGATTATCGGTGTCAAAGTTGTCCTAAGGAAGGTTTCAGTCACGCCCATGTGGCGTGATAATGGGATGTCAGAAAAGGCCAGCTTCTTTGCACAACACACTCGAAGTGACACATCAAGGCAAGAACAGGCTGGGTGGACCACACCCCGACCGTCTTCTAGTTCGCTCCTCAGAGCCCACTGCCGTGGGATCGATTCCGACCCAGATGCACACTGCAGGGCGGAGGAGAACATCCACCCATCAGGGTTTTCCAAGGCTTTCCCCGACAGCGGGCGGCCTTGTGTCTTCCTCCCGCCAGAGTGGATGGTGAAGGCTTGGACCCACGACCTTTGAGGTTCGCCATCAAATGCCTTAACCACAGAATGGTCCCCAAAACTGGCTTCTGGGTGCGCATCCCATAACAACTGCTGTGACGACTTCCTTCCCGGCTTCGGGGCGCATGGGCTTTCCTCCTCCGCTTCCCGAAGCGGCAGCTCCCCAGGCATGGGGGCTCCAGTCCCGGAGAGGTTCCCCGGATCCGGGGCGGGAGGAAGCCGGGCACAGGACCCCCCCAAGATCTAAGGGTATGAGAGGTTCCAACACAGAACCGAGAGCGCCAGCAGAGGAAAAGTTCCCGGGGGCCAGCGGTGGGCGTGGGGACACGGGGTGGAGCTGGGCAGGGCCGGGGGGAGGTGACCCAGCAGCCGGGAGGGAGCAGCGAGCGGAGCCCCGGAGAAAAAGCTACGGAAAGTGGTGGAGAATCGCCGATGCAGCCCCCGCTCGTGCCGTACCCGCGTCCCGAAGCGCAGGCGGGCCGGGGCCCTGTCCTCACCCCCACGCGGACCCCGGGGCGTCCCGGGCACGGGCCTCGGGGGGCGGCAGCAGTGAAGTTCCCCTCCGCCGGCCCAGGAGGCGGGCGGCTCGAGGCGCCCCGGGTCCGCACCGACTTCAGGCCCCACCCAGCCCTCCGGAAGGTGGTAACACCGCGCCCGCCACCGCGCCGCCGCCAGCTCCGCTCCGAACGCCGACACTTACTTTCTCGTGGAAGATGGACTCCATGTTTATTTGTCTGGAGCCCAACGGCCCCCTGCGCCGAACCAGCCCCTCGGACTCCGGCTCCGCCCCCGCCCCACCCCGCCTCCGGCCCCGCCCAGCCTCGCCCCGCCCTCCTGCCTTACGCAGGCCAATCACCCTGACGGACGGGAGTCACGTGGAGTGGAGAGCAAGTGAACGCTGGGACGCCAAGGCATGTGACCTTTATAGCGTGTCCTCACACCTCCCGCGCCTGGCTTACTGCAGCGCCCCCTGCCGACTGGCGGATCTTCTGCGCATCTCACCCATTGCTATGGATTCTTGGACACTAGACCTAGATTTAAGTCTACCTGGAGAGAGAGAGAGAGAG